TTTTTGAATTTCGCGCTTTCCACGCATGCGCAGAATGCCTGCGCAATCCTCCAGGAGCAGCTGGAGCATCGCGCAGACGCTAATACGCATGCGCGCGCTGTGTGCGTGCGCATGCGTGAGGATGCTGCGTGCGTGCACGCGTGCGCCGCGTGCGTGCGTGAGGACGCCGCCAGCCTCGTTCCAACCGATCCGGTTGGAACGGGGCGAGAAACCCACCCCTGGGTTGGACATTACTTTGCCAACTAACAACAAGTCACAGTACAAGGAGAATGCAAACTGAGACATAATGAAGATCATTGTGCCCTTTCTAATAGTTTACAACTACAACATGACATCCAAATTATTGTGGTATTCAAAAATTACTTCGCTGTTTCTTGAGTCAAAATCATTTAAATCAAACTATTTTACATTTCTTCTTTTGTTGAATTCAGTGGTGTATTAAATGGAAAGACCATTCTCTGAAAATATTTGCCGTGCAGTTTTTGTGATATAAATGGATCTGCAAATCATTTTTTTCTTTTCTGTTAAATCACTATTGTGCCCCAGGCTTATCTTTTTTTTCATCCTCATCTTGAATAAAAGTTTCCTTGGCATTCTTGGATTTCATTCACTTTTGGAAGGTTAACAGTTTTACTTAGTAATTGCATGCATGAACAAAGCATTTGGGGAAAACTGGGTCATGTATTTTGTTGGTTTTCTAATGGATGTGTTCTCTTTTTAGGAAGTAGCATTTTTCTTTTTTATATGAGTCTGTGGCAGTTTCTATTCTTTTTATTCTATTCTAAAATGCAGTGTAGGAGGCTATCTTCCATCTGAGATGGCTTAAATTTTTAATAGCTTCTTATTTGTTGCCTGATAGATTAAAAGTGATACACATTTAGCTCTCTTAAACAATGTCACCTATGTCACATTTCTGCTAATATATCTTGACCTTATTCAAATAGAGCTGTAAATATGTCCCTTACAAGTTATTTATTAGTGGATTTCTGCTGTTGGTATGCAATATAAAATTAGATTCCATAAGTTTTTATGTATTTGGGAATCTATATTTCTCTAAAGTTTTTATCTATTTCTCTAATGTTTGGATGCTTTTATGAAAAATATATTGAGTATACGTTCAATTATATTACAATGTACTGGATTAAATCTTTATAAAATTCAGTTTATGTAGTGAATTATATAATTGGATCTCCTCCCAAATAAGCAATAAATTATTTAAAAGAATTTGATGAAACAGTTCCTAATTAGTTTCCTAATTCCTGTTCAACATGCAGATTAGGATTTTGTTAAAATTAATTGGATATGAAAGCATGAATTGCAATTGAGCAGTCCTTTAATTAACCATATCTCTACTAATACATCAGTATGTAACTATGTACTTTCCCATTTATTAATTTTATTATTTAAATAAAAATAACAAGACTGTATAGATTTAACTAAGAGATTTACTAAACCAACTATTTTGGAAGTGAGAAACTACAATTAAAATAAAACTGATTTGTTTGTATGAGAATCTTATTGTATAAACTGGATTCAACAAGGATTATTTAGGATTACTATGTCATTTACAGGTAGTCTTCAATTTACAACAGTTCATTTAGTGACTGTTCAAAGTTACAATGGCACTGAAAAAAGTGACATGACCGTTTTTCAAACAGGACCATTGCAGCATCTCCATGGTCACAGGATCAAAATTCAAATGCTTGGCAACTGGTTCATGTTTATGATGGTTGCAGTGTCCTGGGGTCACGTGATCTGATTTTACGACCTTCTCACAAGCAAAGTCAATGGGGAATCCGGATTCACTTAGCAACCTTGTTACTAACTTAACAAATGCAATGATTCACTTAACAATGGTGGCAAGAAAAGTCGTAAAATGGGGCAAACTCACTTAACAAATGTTTCACTCAGCAACATAAATTTTGGAATCAATTGTGGTTGTAATTTGAGGACTACCTTTATTAAATTGATCCTATTAAGAGAAATCAATAGAATTGTTTATGAAAAGCTCTAATGGTGCTAGAACCATTTGAACTTTTTAACCCCCACAATTAGTCAAAATAGCTTTTAACCTGGAGTTTTAAAATCCTTCTGTATTAAAATAATTAATAATATATAGGTGAAAATACATGCTAAATGTCTCCTCTACTTTGTCCAGCAATAGCTCTGGAAGACATGTTGACTATTGTTAAAGTGCCACATCCTCTTTAAAAAAAAAAGATGTTACTGTCAGAATAGTATAAAAATCTATTCATTTATTCTTTATTTTTTAATGTGTTGCAGGGGTCACAAAGATAAGCTCTTCGTAGTAAAGTGCAACCCTCATCATGCTGATAAACTAGTGACTGTTGGAATAAAGCACATCAAATTTTGGCAACAAACAGGTAGTAGAATCTATCTTATTTCTTCACCAAAAAGTTGATTCAGATAATTTAGTTCCCCATTACAGACGCAACAGAATTTTGCTATCATTATTCTGTTTGTTACCAATCTTGCTTGAGGACGTACATATTTTATGTACAGCTAAATGTCTTATTGATGTCTTGGTTTATGGTGAGGGCTTGAATCTCTCTGGAGCAATAAAAAAGGAGGGAGAATGGAAAAATTAGTGGGATAGGGAGGGAAGTTTTAGTAGCCCTTGGCTCTATCCCTATTGGAGAACTACTGTAGATGCTGGCAATCCAATAGTAAATTTAAGGTTAGGTTTAGTAAACCCATCCAGAGGTTGAAATTAGATGGATGGCAAATAAATTTAAATAATAATAATAATAGGAAAAACAACACGCCAGATATCACGGTTGTAGAGGGTCGAAACATACAATTTATTGACATCGCGGTACCAGGAGATGCCAGAGTCGAAGAAAAAGAACTGGGGAAAAATGACAAAATACTGCAACCTGGCCATCGAAACTACCTGATTATGGATGAAACATGTAAAAGTAATACCCATTGTCATCGGGCACTTAGTACCATGTCCAAGAATTTTATAAGATACACCAACAAATTGCAGCTTCCTGCAATGACACCAGCGGAACTACAAAAAACGGGGCTATTCGGAACATTGTATATTTTAAGAAGGTATTTGGTTGATACCTAGAACACTGGCAGCAACCCGTATCAACCATTAGCACCAGTCAATGGTATTTGTGATGCATTTTTGAATGTTCAGTTAACTGAGTTTCATGTTTAATGAATAAAGTATCATTATTATTATTGCTGTGGTGGTGGTTCTTATTGTTGTTATTATTATTTTAAGTTTCATGTTTAATGAATAAATGAAATAATAATAATAATAATAATAATAATAATAATAATAATAATAATAATACTTTATTCATTAAACTTGAAACTCAGTTCAGGAATGTTCAGTTGACTGGGTTTCATGTTTAATGAATAAAGTATAATAATAATGATGATGATAATAAGTTTNAGTCTTGCTAAATAGCAACATTTAAGGAAAGGAACCTGGAGCACATCCATCCTTGGATGGGGTGTAGCAAGCAGATGCCCTCAGAGAGAAGTGGCCCTGCAAATATTTTTTGTGCTATATGGAATAGAGTTCCCAAAATAACCATAGGGTTCAAGTGGAAATGTATGAAGTGTATTCCTTCAGGTTCTTCAGATTCAAACCATGAAAAGTTTTACAAATTGGTACAGGACTTAGAACTAAGTCTGGAACCAAGTAGAGTCAGTAAGAAATAATGCTAAGATAATATGATCACAATTCCGTGTTCTAGTAAATAGGCCAGCTACCATATTGTGTGCTATCTGAAGTTTCGGAACATTCAGAAGACATTCCTCAATATATACAATACACAGTAATAATATGTATGTGTGGCCCAAGTCTTGTGTTACTATATGAATTGATTTTAAAATGTTTAACAAGAGATAATCTAAATCTAGAAAATGAGAAGCTCTATTAAAATTAAGAAAAATAAATGAAATTAGGTTTATTTTTCTTTCTTTCAGGGTTGCTGCTGGAAGATAATCCATCAATCCGTGCCATCACTTTAGGACATGGGCATATACTGGTGGGAACAAAAAATGGAGAGATTCTTGAAATTGATAAAACTGGTCCCATGACTCTACTTGTGCAGGTATAATTGCTTATTTTATGTACCAAGAGCTATATCAAAGAGCATAACCAGCATTTCTATATTTGCTCTTAATTTAATCCATTTCCTATTTTATTTCCTGTAGCCCTCTGTCCTTTTTGCAATTTAGTTAATTTAATAAAGAAGCTACTCAGGATGTTATTGGATTGGATGTTGTTTACATATATTGACAAATAGATTTCCAAACTTCTAAGTTATGAAGTCCATTTATCTTCTCAAGGAATACTCACTATAAGATGCAACTAGTTTAAAAAGGGTCCTTGTCTGACAGCCTAATTAATTGCTGTGTCAGGAATGCAGAGGAAAACCAGAACCAGTACAAAATATAGAAAATAGGTGTATGATTAATGAGGCCTTTAAAGAATGTACAAACACAGATAAAAAATATATAGGAGCAGTGGATACCACACAGTAGGTTTATGGATTTTTAAAAAGTAACAAAATGCTGTTTAGAAATCAGTCTTAGCTTGGAATTAGAAACAGTTGCACAGTATCTGCTTTTTTAAGGAATATTTTCCCTATTTCTAAATAGGGCCATATGGAAGGAGAAGTCTGGGGTCTAGCAGCACATCCCCTCTTGCCTATCTGTGCAACAGTGAGTGATGATAAAACTCTAAGAATCTGGGAGCTTTCCTCCCAACATCGTATGCTGGCAGTGCGAAAACTTAAAAAAGGTAACAATCTTATGTAGTTTAGTATCTTGTTTATGAAGGATTTTTTATATCAAGTATACATAATCTTTGATCAGTTACGCCAAATATAACTGTTTGCATTTTTAGTTGTCCACCAGAAATTTAGCTGACTTCCTGATTTTATTGTAAAGATTTGTATTCTTGTACATGCCTGAAAAGTTATATGTGGCTTAATAGTTCAAATTTGTGCAAACTTCCAGAATTTGTATGAATCACAATAAGAAAGATTTCACTTGAAACCAGTAATAAATCCAATTATTATTAAACATCTCCTTAAAAATGTGAAGATGGAGACATGTTCCTATCATACATCTGTTAATTACTCATTGAACATTGTATTCAAGTGCAACTCCTATCATACTCAGCATGAATTACCATTGCTTATAATTATAAAGATAGGAATTGTAATATTTGTAATATTTCAAACCAACAGATTTAAAAAGTCTGAATTATATCACTAATTACTATTTTTCCTTATCAAATGTTTGTCTTGACTATCCAAATTAAGGGAGACTATCTTAATCCAAATTAAGGGAGACTGTCCAAATTAAGGGAGATAATCAGAAAACTAGAATATTACTTTGTGAGCACTGTTTGGTCTTCAAAGCGTGTCCTAGTTTGATCCTAGTCCTGTTGGACAACCATTTAAATATGAGCCAGCAGTGTGCAGTAGCTGCCAAAAAACCCAACACAGTTCTAGACTGCATAAACAGAGGGATAGAATCAAGATCANTAATAATAATAATAATAATAATAATAATAATAATACTTTATTCATTAAACTTGAAACTCAGTTCAGGAATGTTCAGTTGACTGGGTTTCATGTTTAATGAATAAAGTATAATAATAATGATGATAATAATAAGTTTACTTATAATTTAAATCAATAGATGGACAGACAGACAGACAGACAATTGGAGAACCAATTTGGTTTAGTGGTTAAGGCACCAGTCTTGAAAGCAGGAGACCCACTGAGCCAGTTACTCTTTGTCAGCCCAACCCACCTCACAAGGTTGTTGTGGAAAAATCAGAAGGAAGAAATTGTGTTGAGTATATTTGCCACCTTGAGTTATACGTAAAATTCATAAAATTGGGATAAAAGGACTTTATGCATCTACCTGTCCCATTTTATATGGATCCTAAATATCTTGGAATCATGATATCAGATTTTGGCAGCCCGTGGTGCAACTATTAGATTTTTTCCCCTCCAAAATGAGGGAACTGTAACAAGGTTTATTTTGTTTTGTCTTTGGAAAAATCCAGTTACCCCAAGCCATAAATCATTCTTCATTTTGAAGATGTGATCATTTTATTGTCATATTTTCTGCAGCTCAGAAATCCAAAACATTGTAAAAAAATAAATAATGCCTCCGCTGTAGCAAAAAGTTACCCAATATGTAATGGATGGTATAATTCTACTTGGCTGTTTCCTTGTATTCTGCCTACCAATTTGTAACATTGTTTCCTTCAAGATATGCAATTGAAGAAAAGCTAGAATTTTATTTCTTTGTCTCCACCCTCAACATACCTTTTGTCCTCCCCTATTGGTTTTTAGTAATAGATAATTGAAATATATACAGTTATTTATAATAACCCTTATTGGTCTATCATAACTATTCAGGTGGTGGTTTTACCTCAAAACGTGGCATGTTTGGAAATATTGGGAAGCAGGAAACCATGATGAGTATTTCCTATGGACGGATAGAGGATTTCGTTTTCTCTGGATCTGCAACTGGAGATATTTACATCTGGAAAGATGTTTTGTTGGTTAAGACAGTAAAAGCTCACGATGGCCCTGTATTTGCTATGCATGCTTTAGATAAGGTAAAAATTGTCTTGTGCAATTCTGTAAATCAGCTGCATCTTTTCATGGGATTGTGCAGCTATTTCCAGCCACTACAATGTTAGCTCGGGAAACAAAATATTTGGTTTAAGGAGTTGCCAACAGGTATTTTGTATGTTCTAAAGCATCTTTTTACCTACAAAACTGAAGGGCTTAAGTATGCATACATAGTTTGGGTAAATTTTGGCTTTAAATACCCCAGAATAGTATTTGAACTGGATGAGTACTGTAAATTTCTCATTCCTGTTTCCAGTAAACCAATTTGAGGATAGATGGGATACTTTTTGCATTTGGAACTAAATAAATGCTCCATTGAACATGAAAATAGTAATATTAATTAATGTAGCCACTAGACACAGTGTATTTATGGTTTTTTGCAGTCATTCTTTCAATATTTGATATTCAGATTGAGTACCATAGCCAAAAGAGCATCATTTGTAGATAAGAAGGAAACATCAGCAAGCTTGGGGAGACAGGATTTGCAGAAGCGTATGAATGAATGTATTTCATTTTGTAATTCAGTGACATTAATTTTTTATCACCTAACTTTATATTGTCAATGTATTAAGCAGATCTATAAATCTCTTTTTGAACAGGGCTTTGTGACAGGTGGGAAGGATGGCGTTGTGGCACTTTGGGATGATACATTTGAGAGGTGCTTGAAGACATATGCCATCAAAAGAGCAGCACTCTCTCCTGGGTCTAAAGGTATAACTAATCTAAATTACAATAGGCAGGAATAAAGATTGGTTATAATAAAACATGTGAAGAGACATTGAAAAATCCTAGTAAATCTGTAATAACCTCTTCCAAAGCCACCAGTTCTGCATTGCTCTATAAAGTGAATCTGGAGATTACTGGCAGATGGCTGATTTGCTTAAGTTTGAGAGAGATTACCAATAATGTATGCTACAGCTATTATGAATAATCACCTAATTATGCGAAGACTGAAAGGTATGAAGTTCATGGAAATTATGCTATAGCTTTTTGACATAAGTAGTGTCATAAAAATAAAGAGTGAGAGGTAACAAGGAATCAAAGGCAGGAAGTGAGAGAAAAGAAATCTAATCAAATCTAATTTATAGCAACACTATTATACCTCTCCATACCTTTCTATTCTTGTAAATTATATCTGCTTCCTCTGCATACATATATTGTGTTATTTTCTTTACACATTATGAGAACCTCATCAGCTTCTTCCAACAACTTTCTTGGCCTTCCTCTTCCTCTTGAACCATCATATATTTGTTTTGCAATTTAGTCCTCATTCATTCTCACTATAAAATACAAAAACCTGAACGTACTTCTTTTTGCAATGGTCTTTCATTTTTTGCTCAATCAATGTTTATTAAGAATTCATTTATTCTTGAAACAATCTCTTCTTTTGTGTCTGGAACAGTGTTTGGTAGAAGTCTGATTGAAAGGATACAAGAGATTATAAGGACCAAAATTTGAGAAGTACAATGAAGTTTTAGCTAACTTGGGGGTNTTGTCTTTTTCTTCAGGTGCATGAAGCTACTGTAGCTTCCCAGATAAATTCTACTTAGTAACCATGCAGCAAGGCTTGTGATCTATCCAGAGGTCATCTTTTTTTATTTAAAACTATTGGGTTCCCCCCCCCCCCGATTTTCACTTATAAGAAGCATATATAGAAGCATCAAACAGGCAACAGCTAGCCTTTTCAGTTCTATTTAGTTGGGCTAAGCCTTTGTCACAAAACATAACAACACCATCACTTTCAAACATATCAAGCTCACTACTCCGGGGTTCTTAACTTCATATCTGTGGGCACCATTCCTTTACTTGATTTTTCACCTAAACCTGGTGTGTGTCTGTGTAAACTGGTTATACCTCCATCACAGCCATTTTATGAATGGGCAGAACTGCCAATGACAGCCATAATGTTTTCAAATTGGCTCTCGAACTATTTAACATTTGGGAACTGCTAAGTCCTTTTCTAGAATAATTATAGTTAGGAGAAGGAGGAAGAGATAAGTACAAATTAAGTCATTGTGAAAGTTTGATTATTGTAGAACTTCCAACTCCCTTATTCCTGGCACCATAACATAAATTAGCAGTGAATATTATATTTGTCACATTTCATTTCATGATATCTCATGATGAACTATGAATTGTTTTGTACAGCTGATGGGAAATGCTTAGCTTCAATTGGATTAGATGACAATCATACCCTTGTACTGTGGGACTGGAAAAAGGGAGAAAAGATGGCAGTGACCAGGTAAGAATACTATCATGTTGCATCCATAGTTGTATATATTTTATATAATACAAGTATTCTTTGTTGCTGTTCCAGGAGTTGTTTTTTTTTTTGAAAAAAAAAACATATTGTTCACCAATATAGAAAGAGAGAAAATGATCACATCAATTATCCCACATTCTTGTATGAGACCTCCATTCATGTGCTGTATCAGGAATCATAAATTTATGGCCCTAGACATACTGTCAAATATATATGCTGAACATGAAATGGCAGAAAACAGCATGAGACATTCAATTTTTGTCCATATATTTTGAGGATGAGAACAAAACTATTTTTGCAAAATAATATACTGTTCCCATCTGTGTGGAATCTGCTTATTTAATTCTTCAAACTGTTCCCACTCTAATTTTCCTATAATTTTCATGGTTTTTTTAAAACTACATTGATAATGCCAGCTTTCAAAGAAAACCAGACTAAAAAAGCAATACTATGTAGGTCAGCATTACTTTTATTATAAAGCTGTAATAACAGAATTCTGCAAGTCTAAATTTGCTTGCCCCTCCCTCCCTTTATCTTTGTGTAAAAGGCATTTACTTATATGGATTACATTACAGGTAATCTTTGATCAAGTGATTTCTATTACAGTCAGTATGCATTGTCCTGTGCTTGACCTGTCATCTTTCTAGTTTCCCCCTTACAGAACAGAAAGATTGGAGAGAAAAGGATTGCAAGAAAGTAAACAAGCACACAAGGGAAGCAAGGCACACATCAAAAGCAAAACACTGATGCCAGCAGCTGCAAGCCTGCTACACAATCAGTCCTCTGTATCCCTCATTATGTGCCTGCATACTTTCTTGTAATGCCTCACTCTTCAATCTCTCCATTCTGTGAGAAAGGAAAATAGGTTTAGCAGAGGAGAAATTGCCTACAGAAATCACTCCCCTCCTCCTTATACAGCTTATGTAGCATGATTATGGCTTACTTTCAGTGTGTATTCTTCATTGTATGCCTGATTTCTCTCTTTTAATTCCTCCTCTCCAATAAATAAAATACAAACATTAATTCCTTTCTTGCTAATAATATCAGTTCCAAGATGAGCATTCCAAATGATGGGGGAGTGAGGAACAGGAAAGTATTATTGCAGTCATATGATTTCCCATTTAGCAATTACTTTACACAGTGATAGAGGTCTGAATTTTGATCACTGAACAAGGACAACATTCCTGGCCTGGCTAAGGCCATTTTCATTTGAACGTTGCCTTGATAGCAGTTCTTCCTTTCGTATTTCAAAACCATTCCCTTTTCCCTCTACAGTTGTCAAGAAAACAAAGTTCACTTGTTCATATAGTCAAGAAACATTTATGACAACTTTTCAAATGGTTGTAGTTTTTCTGTGCTGTTACTGTACATTTTGTACTTCAATTTACCATAACTCTTCATCAGTGTTTAACCTATAGCATTAGAAGTGCATGTCCACCCACGTCTCAATTACTTAAAAAAAATAGTCTCAAATGGTTAAATTTTAAGAGACTGAACTGAATCACAAAGCACTTTGAATTCTAGCAACTGGAAATGGCTGCCTATTTTCCCAGTTGTCCCACAGTGGCTGTATTAGCATACACCATTTGCACATACAGTACCAGAAATGTAAATGATGAAAAACTTTGCAATTGTTTACTGTCCAGTTTATATGCAGCACTGAATTGTGTAATAAATAATATCTAGCACCACTGCTTTTCAGCAATAATTGTAAAAATACCAGAATAGCAGTGTGTCAGAAATTATAGGGTCTTTAAAACTTTGAGTGATTATGGAACTGATCTGCGATACACTGTGGCTTCCTTCCTTATACATCTCATTGAAATCTGCCCCCCTACCCCGGGTTTAGAGGACCTTTTGAAAGAATCTAAGTGACCCTACCAACAAAAGTGAGTATAGTCAAGACTATGGTTTTTCCAGTTGCAACATATGGCTGTGAAAGTTGGACCATAAGAAAGGCTGAGAGCCAAAGAATTGAGGCCTTTGAACTATGGTGCTGGACAAGACTCCTGTGAATTCTTTCGACTGCAAGGCAATCAAACCGGTCAGTCCTAGAGGAGATCAACCCTGACTGCTCTTTAGAAGACCAGATCCTGAAGATGNGGTAAGGTAAAGGTAAAAGTTCCCCTTGCACATATGTGCTAGTCGTTCCCGACTCTAGGAGCAGTGCTCATCTCCGTTTCTAAACCAAAGTTCCAGCGCTGCCAAAGAAGTCTTCGTGGTCATGTGGCCAGCATGACTAAATGCTGAAGGTGCACGGAATGCTGTTACCTTCCCACCAAAGTGGTCCCTATTTTTCTATTTGTGTTTTTTATGTGCTTTTGAACTGCTAGTTGGCAGAAGCTGGGACAAGTAATGGAAGCTCACTTCATTATGTGGTGCTAGGGATTCAAACCGCCGAACTGCCAACCTTTCTGATTGACAAGCTCAGCATCTTAGTCACTGACCCACAGATATAGGGACCTTAATATTGGGAAAAGGTTGCTAGGTTGGCAAAAGCTGGGACAAGTAATGGGAGCTCACCTAGGGGTAGGTAGGTAGGCAGGCATTATAAGCATGTATCTTCTGCTACAAATTTGCAGTACTCCTACTCCCGCTCCCTCCAGTTTTCCTTTAAAATGTAGAATGAAGCAAGGAGCATTGTCCATTGTTCTAAAAATGTTACATTTGGTCTTACCATTGTCCTCTCTTGTTGACAGCCTTTATAAGCCTTCAGTAGATAGCTTGTAGCCAAAAGTAAGTAAATGTTCACCTTCTGTGTCAGAAAATCTGTTGAGTCTGATTTCTGTAAACTTCTTTGTGTTCAAGGGAAGTTACTACAAGTCAATTCTGGTGCCAAAGAACAAATCTTCTTTGAAGCTCCAAGAGGAAAGAGGCATATAATAAGAGCCACAGAGGTAAGGAAAAATGAAATGAATTTATTTTATATGTTATTTCACTGCTATCTGTTAGAAAAAGAGTGGTCCAATGCGCAGTTTGTTTTCTGCTTGGTATACTTTCTAAAGGTTCTGTTTCATGCAGTAACTCAAGATATGTACATAAATGCTGTAAAGATTTTGTAGAGTTGGGCTAAAGAACTTTTCCTTTTTTAACCATAGCACATTCATTTTATATCAACATAACTTTCTTTCTGCTAAACATAATTGCAGTAATCTGTAATTATCATTCAAGGCACAGGTAGTATTTTAGAATGGTAACTGCATTTGAATGTTGAAAGCATGCTATAGGAATTCTCACTAAATGGCTACCATAGATAAGGGGTGAATTCACAAAAATGACATGTTGAGTGGGATCAATCACAAAACACTTATTACTACAAGGAGAACTGGTAAGACTCTCTCTCTCTCTCTCTCTCTCTCTCTCTCTCTCTCTCTCTCTCTCTCTCTCTCACACACACACACACACA